GGCCCGTGAAGAATGACCCCATTAAAGAGATGGTCTGGTCCCTTTGAGTCCGGATTCTCCTCGCGCTCAGTTTCCCAGCGCTGCGTCTCTGTCTGGACTGGGGCCAACACTCTCATCCAAGAATGTAGAATTGGCAAAGGGCATAATTAAGGTCCATGTCTGCGGCCTAACCTTTAAGAGGCTCTGAAGACTGTTGCGGCAGCCGGAGCATCACGTATTATATCAGCCCAATCAAGCCCGAGGAAATACTCACTTGGTCAGGTTAGGGTTTCAGCGTCTCGTCTAATCCAAATGTGTTACAAAAGACGACATTGTGGCGGTCTATTCTCTTTTATACACTGCCGGTAAATTGTTAGACTTGAGTTATGTTTACATGCAAGTGAAAACCAGATCTCGTCAGACCTCTGAAGTTGAGCAGTGCAGGGCCTGGTTAGCACTGTGATGGGAGACCACAGCTGTGTCCTTAGGCAAGACACTTTACCCACATTGCCCAGAATGAGTCTGGTGTGTGTGAACGATCGGTGGTGGTCGGAGGAGCTGATGGCTCATACTGCCTCGCTTCTGTCAGTGTGCCTCAGGGCTGCTGTGGCCTCAGTTGTAGTTTATCAGCACTGTGTATAGAGTGAATGAATAATTATTTAATTACATATGAAGCAAAAAATGCAATGCATTGTTATCATTGTTATTGTTAGGTAAATGTTCTGCTGCTAATTTTGAATCACCATCTGTTGGTATGGAGAAATATAATATAGGGAGCAATTAAGCCACTAGCAGAGTAACTCGAAAGGAATATTTTAGAAACCATTTTTTCAATGTAGGCATGGGCTGAAATAGATTATGTTGTTTCGAGGAAGACTCTGTGAATCCCACTCGGACCTGTGCCAGCTCCTCTGAGTCAACAGTCACACGTTAAACACAGGACAGTGACACCGTTTTGTCGCTGTTACATCTGCTGTTGTGTCGTGTACTCAGGTGGATTCTGTGGTTTGCAGCTCAGTGTAAATTAAAGGATCAACATCTCTTGCTGCACTTCTTTCACTGTGGTCTGTGGCTCTCATCCATTTACTGTGAAGTCATTGTTGAAAATGTAAAAGTATATTTTGGCCCCTGTTTACAAAATCACGCATTTCAAATGCATAATCCAATTCATAAAGTAAAGTCTCCTAAGGGGTCAAACCCTTTCAGAATAGTAGCCAAACTACATTTCAGTTGAAAGAAAACATTTATAACAGTTTTTGCTGAGTCTTGCTTAGAGCATAGAAGCTTGGAAACCACCAATACTCTATTACCAGAACTTGTTTCTTGTCCCATGAATTTAGCTAATTGCCATAACCTTTCTTGGATATAATTATGCTAGAATTTTGGCATTAGATTGTCAAAAGTTTGAGACCCCTCTGAAACATTCTACCCCTAGTGTGTGTGTGTGTGTATGTCTGTGTGTTTGTCACAGACACACACACAGACAAAATTCAACAGTTATGGCGCGAAAAAACAAACAAACCAACAAACATCACACATTGCATGTAGTTTCCAAGTGTTAGTCTTTTTGTTAAAAAAAACCTTAATGCTGAAAGTTTGAAGCAGATATTTAACATAATCCATCTTTTCTTCCTGTTGACACATCATGAGTGTTCAGATGCATTCATGTGATCATACCTGGATCTGAAAGCCACATCCCGTCAGACCAAACTTAGAAGTAGTTGCCTTGCTACAGTTATCAATACTGCGTATGGAGTGAATGTGTCCAGTGTTCAAAAAAACACTATTTAAAAGCAATGGATGATGAGAACAAAAAATATGATTAATATTATAATTTTATTGTACAGTATTTGTGTGGTATTTTTTGTTACTACTTTGATAGTGAATATGACTGAGCTCCAAGGCCAAAGGTTGTCTTATATATTCCCCTCCATTCTGCATTTATCATAAAAATAACACTCTGACACTTTGAAGTTGGAGAAATAATTTTTGCCAAAAGTAGTTCAGACGGCCTCTCGGCTCTCGCTGCTCGGCTCATCCTCGGTGCGGCTCTCATCGCAGCACAACGAGGCGCTGAGTGAAGGCAGCAGGACTAAAGCCGTGTCCAACAAGCTTCTCTGTCCTCTTCCTCTTGGAGCTCCTTCTCCTCCCACTCTCGCGCCCTCTCCACTGGCACACACTGTTCAAAGTCCCTCGCTGCCAAAACAGGGATCTGGTAACTTTAGGGCAGTGCTGTTTTTCAGAAGGAGTTGTGCTCATAGGTTGTGCTCCCTCTGGCCGACATCCAGGCGCTCATAACAAAGCGGCCCATTGACCAGCGAGGAGGGAGAGGGCCAGGCCTGTTTTCTTGACACTTTTGATTTGATTAAAGCCACTTTGTATTTGCTGTAGTGGAGGATACAGAAACCTGCTGTAGTCCAAAGGTGAGATTAGTGAGCGAACAAACCGTGACCTCAAGTGTGAGAGATACTTTTACTAAGTGACCGTGAAGACTTGGACTTGAGAGTGTGTGCTGAGTAAATTCACACTGCAGAAAAAGATTGAACTAACTTATTTAAACTATGAATGATTGTCTTTCACAATGGTTCGGAATAGAGGTCCTGTCTATTCCCACTGCTCTATACATTCTCAAGTGTATTTTATTTCAGCAGTATTCCATAAAATTCAGTAAATACAGGGCATCTTTACAATTTCAGCTTGTGCAGAAACACGTCTCCTCCACATCATCATTGAATTATTTAAACCCCCATCAGAGTCTAGATACTGAGGGCCTTTAATTTTCATAATCTCTATTCCATTTCCCTCCTGCATACCTCATACAATATTCTGCCTGGGTTTAAGGACCAAATCCATATTCAACATAAAATGCCAAAATGACTGCATATGTTAAAAATGCACTTAAATTAAGGTATTAATAATGACAATGTTTATGTATTCATCCTATCACTTCACTACAAAGTAGATATTTTGCATTTTAATATACATATTTTCACAAATATATTTAGTACAGTCTTCCTGGTTTTTATCTTTTTTCAAACTGCGTTTCAATTGTTCCTGTTTTGATTAATTTGGACCAATAAAGTTGTAAACTTGGCCCATCCCCTGGTCCATCTATTAAATTACTTTTCTTGGCTCCAGACAAAGGCCCCCTCACGGCCACCAAAGAGACAGCTGCCACGAGGTGGAAGCCCCCGCTCTCACTGTATCTGCAACATTGGAGAATGACTTTTGTAGACATTGCCTATTTGGAACACTCCACAGTTCTCATGTACAAGGCGTCAAGGAGACTACCATATATATTTGCTTCTTTTAGTGTTATTTTATGCCCAGGAATCATGCGTGTGTGCGTGCGTGTGTGCGTGCGTGCGTGCGTGTGTGTGTGTGTTCTCAAAGTTAATATAACGTAGAATATCTTTCACTGTAGTCTCATGAATACACTCCAAAGCCACAGGGGCATCCAGGCGCTGGTACCTGGGTGGCATGTACAGTGTGTTGTGCAGAATGTGTCCTTATGTTTACATTCATCTCCTAATAATGCAACATCTAAAACCAGCAACATGGACTGGATCCGGTCTGAGGCTCGGCTAAAAGCCCCGAGATTTGCTGAGCGCAGGAATGTGCTGTTGTTGAATGAGACCCCCGGCTTTAAAAATGGCATGTATAATGAAGTAGCATCTCTTCTTCCGGACAAAGAATAGAAAGAGAGAGCATTGAATAAAGTGTGAAATTGAGGATTTTAAACTTGGAGCACACTGAAAGAAACATACACTTGTTCTTGGCATAAGTCTGAGATGTGAACTGGCTTGTGATAATAACAATCCAATGAGCCAGAAATCAGTGTCCATCAAAGTGTCTTTTCACTACAATTTTGAGTGTCATGCCTTTAGGTCCTTTATTCTGTTTTGTTTTGAGTGGAAAACACGGCTAGAATGGAGCAGTTAGTCTTGTCTTGTCTGTTTACATAGAGGATAAAGGGGTTGGTTAACAATAGGGGGGTGGGTAATATGTTAAAACATCCAGGTAACAATCCTTCAATTCAATGTATTTTTGTATAGCCCTAAATCACAACAGCAGTCGTCTTTACGAATGCCAACAACAAATCCGAGAATCAAACAGTTCAAATATAGAAAATGCAGTAATAACAAACAAATTCCATACTGTTAATAAATGTCCATAAATATCCCGGATCATCGTCCTTAGACCCTCATGCTTGAGCAAGGAACGACTCAAAAAAAACATTTTTTTAAGAGCGTGGCATGGATCACATTTTCAATTTGATTGCAATTTGTATAAACTTATATAATTCATGAGAAAGCTACATTCTCATCTTCATTGATGAGAATATGTGGCATATTACTTTATTTTTCTCCTCATAGCCTAAATATATTAAATTCTGTTTAAAACATCATCTGTTCTGCTACTTTTGTTGTTTATTTGTTGTTTACTATTTAACATCAAGCATTAGAGTATTGAGTATGTTATCACTGATCTCAAATATATTACTACTTTAAAAAATAAGTATTTATAGTAGAAAGATATTTGATAAATTCCATAACTTCAATTTTGGTTGGTATGCATTTTCATTTACATTTTCAGATATGATTATATATATTTTTAGCACATTATGTCAATACACACATATCATTTCAACACTTTTCTATAAGACATTTTTTACAAAAGACTGAATAACACAAAATACTATACCCTTGTTTCAAACATTTAAAACAGACTTGTAGTTCTCTTACACTTTGGAGGTATCTTTCATATTTTGATTATCCTCAAAACGACGTTTGCAACTTTTATTTATTTATTTCACATCACAACAAATATCAAATACATTACATATTTTGTGCTTATCTTTGTGACACTTTGTGAACTCCCCAGAGCTTATAAATGGGGTCCAACACTGCATAAACAAAAATACTATCTTTGCTTGAACTGTAGCTGTGCACTTCCCTTATGTGTATCTCAGCTTTGAATCAAAAACTCACCTTTCCTCTTTCGCTCGCTCTCTCTTCCAGACGGAGTCCACTCTGTGTCCGCCCAGTGCCTCCTGCAGGTCACCATCATCACAGACGAGATGTTATCCAACTCCATCACGCTGCGGCTGGCCAACACCTCGCAGGAGCACTTTCTCTCTCTCCTGCTCTCTCAGTTCTTGGACGGCGTCGCTCGGGTCCTGTCGGCGGCCCCCGAGGATGTGGTCATCTTTAACATTCAGGACGACACGGACGTCAGCGCCAGAATCTTAAACGTCAGTCTGTCTGTAGCTGTGCCTGTCCCAGAGGAGGGTCCAACACGCTCCGTTTCGGCCGGGCAGCCTGGGGAGAGCGGCCTGACTGTCGGAGGACCGGAGTTTTTCGGGTCAGAGGAGCTCCAGGAGAGACTGTACCTGAACCGCAGTCTTTTGGCGCTGATCTCGTCTCAGGAAGTTCTCCCGTTTGACGACAACATCTGCCTGCGCGAGCCCTGTGAGAACTACATGAAGTGTGTGTCCGTGCTCAAGTTCGACTCTCTGGCTCCTTTCGTTTCCTCGGACACCATCCTCTTCAGGCCTATCCACCCCATCAACGGCCTGCGCTGCCGCTGTCCCACCGGATTCACTGGAGACTACTGCGAGATAGAGATCGACCTGTGCTACTCCAAACCCTGCGGGGCCCACGGTGTGTGCCGCAGCCGCGAGGGAGGGTTCACCTGCGAGTGCCACGACGACTACACAGGTAAGAAAAAAACGACACACTGAAAAACAATTTCTCTCTCTCTGCATTCAGTTTGCACAACTTAACACTTTTTGGTCTTACTGGACTCACTTCAGAAGCATATGGATGGAGCAGGTGAAATTCTGAAAGGAACCCAAAGGGATGCAGGACTGAAAAAAAAAAAAAAAGAATCCAAAGTATCAATAAAACACAAATCCAGAACTGAAAACAAGCCAGGAAGAAACATGGAAGAGACAATGGATGGAAAAATGGGGGAAAAGCACAGGGTATTTATACACACAGGGAGACTCAAATAAGAGTGGGGCAGCCAATTATCTGTGCAGACAAAACTTGAAAGAACCATTATCAAAATAAAACTGGGTCAAAATAATCATAAAGTCTACACCAGGACACAGGGAGTCTATAAGGACTTGGAGGCAGTATTACATATCATTTGCAGTGGCCTTTGTGGGAAATACATTCCAAAGGAGATCATGAAGAAGATTGATATATTGATTAATTATTTATGTATACATTCCCCTAGCGTATTATAGGGATACAATACGCTAGGGATATGTAGGATACTGTAATTCAAACAATATATTTTTGTTAGTGGTTGTGTGAAACCATTTTTTAAAACGTTATAAAGAGACAGCCTTGATTCCTGCAAAGTAGCAGCTATGTGTTGTAAGGCTGTAAAACCCCTCACCGCAGACTTTTTACACCTGAACTCACGACTGCTCAGGTGCAATTGTGAAGATATCAAACCTGTTCATTGAAGGTCTGAGCGGTGCTGTAGCTGTCAAAAGCCATACATGCACTGGAATATGCAGCTGCAGAGGACACAAGACCAAGGGCTACAAGAAGGCCGCTGTAGTCCTCCAAACTAATCACTGCAGTGCACACAAAAGTAATAATCACGATCTCACACACATACACACACATTCAGACAGACACACAAGCCACAAAGGTTTTCTTCTTACTATAAATAAACGTAATTTTATGTCATAACAGCGGTTTATATGTTGTACATATATATGAAGATTATATAAATAAGAGATAATTTATGCGTCCAACAGTAGTGACATTTCAATGTTGCAGCGCACACACAGGCCAGTAGTAAGAACACACAGGGAGCACATTCAAATATACAACTTCCAGTAAATGGCGGCTATGTTTCTTAGCTAGTTGTACATGCATCAATATCCATTTTTCGATATGTATCTATAGTGCAAAGTTATACATATAGAAGATAAAGTGGACATTCTAAAGTTAGAGTACACACACGCCACATGAGAAGCACGCCATAAAAAAGCACACAACAATGGCCACACAAAAATATTTGAGACTGCGTTATAGTAAGGAACCGTTGTATTGTCTTATACTTCACACTTGTGCCACAGGGGTTGGACTCTAGCTCAGACTCTTGATACCGGGGGGGAAGTGATTTTGAGTGATCCCTGGAGACCTATAATGTCCACATCTGCCCCTGTGGGTTCCGCCTGCTCCGCTCTCTGATGGGCTCCTGGATGTAAAGGCCTGTGCACTGATGACCGTCGCAGACAAAGACTTGAGTGATGAGTTATTGATCGGCCGAATGCAAACATACAGAGCCCGTAGACAGCTGCTCGGATCTGTTGGCCCCAGTTCAAAATGGCTCTCTAACTGGAACCTGTTTGAATATTCATCATGTAAACTGCAGAACTTATTTTGAAGACCATATATGAATAATTAAACGTTTTAATGCAGTGCAGAGATGTAGGCTTGTATGTTTACAGTTACATAAATGTGATTCATTAGAGCATCTGTTGGTTTAGTATAAAGTCTGTCAAGATTATTTAGGTGATTTTCAATTTGACTGAAACTGAACTGATAATCGTCTATCTCTAAATCTGTTTTTGTGTCAAATTTGTCACGACTATTGGACTAACTCTTCCCTTAATGATATGGGATAGTGGCCTTGTTAGTACACTGAGTTGGTACAAATGTGCGACCAAGCAAATCCGACATTTTCATTAAAAAATGCGTTCATGGATTTTGATGGGAATAGGTTAATATTAAAGACAATATTCAGAGGGAAAGTTGATTACCACAATATCCAGTAATTTATTTGTGGAAGGTTTGTTTGTAGCTCGTCTTTTTGCTTCTTTCATTATTTTTGTTCATTGAATATATTTACGTTTTATAAAGAGGTATTTTCAAAAACGAATGTATTGGGGTTTTTTTTTCTGACTGTAAAGTTATGCTTGGAATGAAATAAAACCAAAGGTAATGATGGATAGAATTTATATCAAAATAAATAATATAGTATAGTATAATAGTGTCTTACATACAAGGCGCCCAACATATACTGTACATATACGAATAAGAATTCCTTTATTTGTCCCACAGTGGGGAAATTGGAGACTGAATTACATGTTTTGAGTTATTATTACAAAGTGCATTTAATTTAAAGTAATATCAACTGCAGGCGGCACGGTGGCGCAGTGGTTAGTGCTTGTGCTTCCCAGCAAGCGAGGAGTTTGCATGTTCTCCTGTGCCTGCGTAGGATTCCTCCGGGTGCTTCTTGTTTCCCCTACCACTAAAAACATGTACAATAGGTCTGGCATGTACCTCCTGTATGACAACCCCGCTCCCATCTCTGTGTGGAGTGAGAGACAGATGCCACAACAGTTTGTCAGTCACACCTTCCACAGTCTCTGGTCTGGGAAAGGTGCTGTATAATTAAACAAGACTTAATCACTTACTTATAAATGATGTGACTCCTGAGAATGAAGTCAAAATAGTGTATAATATGCTTGATTCATCGGCTGAATGGTGAGGGGTAAAGCTTGATAATTGATACTTAATAAATCAGTCTCTAATAATGATAACCTTTACGTATATCCTTTCTATATCCTCTCATCTGACTAGAAAAAAGTATATCTATTACATCTAATCACGCTCTCAAAAACAACATATACAGGGACAAGGTTACGTGCAGAAAAGCAGGTAAAATGTGAGAAGTATTTCATTTTGCAGAGAACAGTGCCGTTGATTTAGGTTGTGGCCGTGAGGGGTAATAGTATGAGAAATGATAAATTATAGATGGACACAGATGGGAAGTGTCTCTTGGCTCGGAGCCGACCTTGTCTGAGAAAGCACAATGTAGACACTTCCTTTTGGTTCAATAATAATGAATAATCTGTTTGTTATTCTGTCTTTACTCCAGAAATGATCCTCAAGGGCCGTCTACGCTGTTGCTTTATGAGATAAGAGGAAAGGGGAAGTTGAAGAGGGGTTTAAAGACGAACAGAGTCAAATATTATGCAAATTTATACAGAAGGAATATTGGGGTGCTGGCCTGCTTTTTGAAGAGAGGTTAAGTGGGACACTGTCGGACTTTTTAATGGGAATTTCACTTTTATCTTGTGTTTGTAGCTGCGCACAAGTTCCGAAACCCAGTGATCTTATTTGTGGTGTTTACTCCTGTTAACAGTTTGTACGGAGTTGTGTTTGAAGAAGATGGTGCAGATTAGGTCAATGAATCTTATTTATGCCTTACTGCAGAAAATCTAATTCTGCTGTAGAATCTGACTTGCATATTTCCTGTATTACTAATGAAACAGTATTACCATAAGAACTGAACGTATTTGTTCTGACGCACATTGTTAATCCATATTAATAATCATAACTAATCCATATCTTAAGCATGTGTCATTATTGTCTCATGTGGTGACGTCTCTGTTCTTATGCACATTGGTTCAAATCATATCAAAAGCCTTATTGTCTTTTGTCCGATCTGGAAGGACTCAAAAATAAAACATGTCACAGGTGCAATCGCCGCTGCCTCCGTCTTCATTTCTAAAAACTGTATTCAGAGCGTCATTGTGAGTTCAGTCTCATCTTTAGTCAGACTTCAGACCTCTGAAGCTAAGCAGGGCAGGGCCTGGTTAGTACTGTGATGAAAGACATCTGGGCATGGTTGGTGGTGGTCGAAGGGGCTGATGGCACAATCTGGTTACCTCGCTTCTTTCAGTGGGCCTCAGGGCAGCTGTGGCTACAGAAGTGGTGTATCATTACCGTGTATGGAGTGAAAGATTTTATTGATCTCACACAGGAGAAGTTTACATGTCACAGAAAACCGATGCATTTTTTTATTATCTATTATATATCCCAAACAAACTCCCGTTACATAGAACGTCCCGCTGTACTGGTCCAGCTCTCAACCGGCCTTCAAATTGAATAAAACAATATGCAGTTAGCCACGGCGTCTTCTTGTGTATTCGTCCATCAAACATTTAAAAGGTTTTCTGCACCATTTAGGCTTTGTTTTTTCCCCCCGTAGCTTCAAATAGTGTCAGGCGTTGAGTGTGTGGGCTCGGTTCTTGTTGAGTAGCACTCTGCTTCCCGGTGTGCAGATGTGGGAGTGCAGGCGCTGCAGGTGCTTTTAGTGTTTGCAGCGTGGGTGAACGGGCGGATTTCCCTTCGTTCGTCCGACTAAAACGGCTACAGCGCCACATTAATCAGTGTCAGCAGAAGGCTCGGACCCACATGCTGCGATGAGGCGTAAAAGACTTCAGAGACACATGTTAAACATGTTGATGTCTTTGTCACTGTCCATACAGCTGCAGCAGTGATTGGCAGTCATGTGTATCAAAACACTGCAGGTACATGTGTCTCTGACTGTATTCTGGTTCATGTTACAGGTTATGAGCACCAGGTGAACATCGACCATCTTTGATATGTCCAAGTTGAAATTGTGAACTTCCACTAAAAGTAACAAGGCTGTTTCTTGTCTTTTGGCCCTTTTATTAATAAAATCTACAATACAATATATCATGATTCATGGTTCAGATTGACGGCCTTTCTTCTGTCGGTCTCACGTGATGCTGGTGACTTAAATCACCTTCTCAGACAATCAACATAATCAACAATTGTGATGTTGAACTCAGTGGGGGCGGGTCCCGGCTCAAAAAGCTCCATGAGCACGAGCGCTGACATGTTTGCAATCTCACTCCTTCCCGGTGGCGTATCCGAAA